TTCCGATATAATGATTTATTTATTAGTGACTTCTCTATCGTTTATTTTAATGTGAAATACTTTCTGAAACAAGTTCGAACGACCAGATTGTCTTAGCTTGCTTTGGAATTTCGGTCTTATACATGGCGCATGCTAATGCTATCTATATAAACATGTGTTACATTTAGCCCATATCGATAAATTATTAAATTCATTCGTTGCATTTCATCATTGGTTGACAAAAAAATGCTTTTACTTTAGAAATTTTGACAAAATAATTTCAAAATGAAATAAATTTTCCTTAGTTGCACAAGTGCTGTTGAAATCCTTATAGTCTAATGTGTCGTAACTGAATCATTCAATAGAAAATTCATCGTATTACAACTTTCTACAATACATTTATCTTCATCTAGGTTTTGAAAAGAAGTAATTTTTCATCAATATTTTCAGTTAGAATTATTTCTTATATTAATCTGAGGACGGTTTCAGACAGAACATGATCATATTATAAATTAATTAAATTAATCTATTTAACTTTTCAAATACTTAAAGTTATTATTTAATGATATGAAATTAAAGGTTTTATGAATTGAAACTGTTCGAACAAGTAAATAAGAAAAATCGAAGGCGAATTTTAGAGTTTTTTTTTGAAAAACTTTAAACAAAAATAGAATAATAATTAGCATTTTTCACCTTCTTTAATGTTCTGTATAAGGTGATAATTGCTATTCAGAATAGTTCTAGTCAATGGTTGTTAATCCATAGTTGAATTTTAAGACTAATAGCACGAATGAAATATTCAGTTCTGTTTAGGATTTCAAATTATCATCGTACTTTTTACCTTCTGGTATTCTAACCATCTCTTCTTTTTATTTAAGTCTTTATTATGTACGCGAGCGTTTATTTACGAGGGAAACTTCCTGATTGAAATCGGCTTTTGAGTTCGAACTCTATGCATCAGATAGACTCAAATGAGATATTAAAAACCATGAAAGACAAGAGTTCTAGACTTTTCCTTCAAAGTTATAGACATCATATTGAAATTTTATCGACATTTTACTTGTAATTAGAATCTCTTAAAAATTTAAGCTCAAGTCCATGTTCTTTTCTCGAGATATTGAATTGCAAAAAACAACATTTGAGATTCCAAAATCTTTCGTGTAATATAAATCATTTTTGAAAACTCAATATCTCATGAAGAGAGCATTCTATTGAAGTTAAATTTTCAGTAAACTCTAATTACAAGTAGGGTGTATGTTAATAGAATTGGTTTATCACTTAACAAATATTTTCATTATTGCTTTTTCTTTTGTTTTAGATGGGTATTAAAAATCATCGATATAATACATCTATAAAACTTGATAATGACGAACGAAGTGAAGGTGAATTAGATTCATCATTAAGTGATAACGATGATGATGATGATAATAATGAAATTTCTCCTAGAACAATCTCTTAACCTCAACAAACTAGTCAATCATGGATAAAAATATTAACTGATCAAAATTTTTCGTCGATTATGTCAAATGCCTTAGCTGATAATACAGAAATAATTCATATTGATGATCCAATAGCACAACAAAGTACTAATCCATTAACATATGTATTTCCACCTGGAACTGATATCAATGAATATTTTCAACGAAAAAAAAAAACAAGATTCAAAATTAAAACATAAACCAAATCGACGTGATTTAATAAATCTTTCACGTTTATTAAATAATGAAAAAAAATGAAGATCTTTTACATGCTATACTTGATATAATTGGTTGTCAACGTGCATTTCAATATGCACATGAAGCAATTCGATTATATAATACAAATGATTCATCAATAATCAAATCTGATAATGAACAAATACGAACATTAGATGGTGTTTATTTTAAAATGTTTATTAAAGATAATGATAATGATTTAATAAGTGAACATGATCGTAATCAAATTAAAAAACGTAATCAAGAAATACAAAAAGTTAAAAAGAAGAGAAAAACAAAAAAAATGAAAAAAGGGTGTGGGTGTGGGTGTGAGTAGATGTGCGTGTGAGTAGATGTGCGTGTGGGTGGGGTGTGAGTGTAGATGTTCTCATCACACCCACACCCATCTTATTTTCATTCATTTTGAATGATTATTTTTACATAATTTTCGTGAATTGAAAGCCTGATTTTCATCAATGGATTTTGAAAAACATTAAAGAATACGTTCGTTTCATCATCACAAATGGCATTTTTTTCATTTCACGGGAAAAACTTCATTAAAATGATGCAAATAACATTATTTTTTGTCATTTTATAAGTCACATCCGTACCCACACTCAATTTAAAATATTTTACAATGAATTAAAATTTTTCTATAACATTCAAACAATTAGTTCATAGTCAGCCTAAAGATACAAAAAAAAACACAAATATTTTAATTTGTTATAATCAATACAATACGTTTCACATTTGGCCATTTAATATGATTAACATTTGTGTAAACACATTCCACCCAAAGACTTAGTTTAATTTGTAAAAAACAATCTAGATATTGTATGTTTGATGTCAAATCATGTCACAAGACATGTACTTGTTTGTAATGAATTATCAACATTTTCTCATTTTTGAAAAAATCCAACTAGTTGTTATTTTCTCACAAAATAATTTACAATATATCATTTTTTAAAATGAATGAATATGGTTGAGTTTTTGATGAAGCTCTACATCAGTTAAATTACTAAACGAGCTTTATTGTAAAATATTTTCGTACATATATTTGTTTTGATGCATCAATTCTTTTCTAATTCATTTCATGAGTATATTGTTCAGAATCCCATACCTCAAATCCATAAACTATTATCACATCAGTTTTTATCTTGTTATGATACTGTAGTTATTAAGTAGTCCTTTAACTTTCTCGATTTCAGTATTACTGATTTTTGTGAATTGAACTAAATAAAATAAATTTTCTTTTTTTTTAAATCTTTAGCGCAAAAAAAAATCTACTCCAACTATCTTTGATATTTTTAATGCGCAAACAAGAAAAGAATAAAATTGAACTGTAAGTTAATATAATTATATTGATTTCATGAACCTTTTTTTTACTAGATTCCATTTACATTTGAGAACATCAAAACATTCGATAACATAAAATGAAATATCACTTGATTGATAA